CTCCCCTCCCTTCCCCTCTCCTCCCCTCCCCTTCCCTTCTCTTCTCTTTTCTGTTCTTTCTTGAGAAGTGTCGATCTCACACCCGGGCTGGAGTGCAGTGGCTCACTGCAACCTCCACCTCCCAGGTTCAAGTGATTCTCCTGCCTCAGCCTCCCAAGTAGGTGGGATTACAGGTGCACACCACCACTCCCGGCTAATTTTTGGTATTTTTAGTAGAGATGAGGTTTCCCCAGGTTGGCCAGCCTGGTCTCCAAGTCCTGACGTCAGGTGATCCGCCCGCCTCGGCCTCCCAAGGTGCTGGGATGACAGGTGTGAGACCCCACATCCTGACTGAGCATGCTTCTCAAATACAAACCCCGCAACCCTGAGCTCACATGTTGAGCCCGTCGTCCAGCCCATAAAGCTTTCACACTCTGGGCCGTGATCCAGCCGCCCCGTGTGTGTCCTCTCACTGCACGGGTCCCTCGGAGCAGCTCCTGGCTGGTGGAAGGCTCTTTGCAGGGTGGGTAGCTTCTTCAAGGTGATTACCACTAGTCACTGACTAGAGGGAGAGAGAGTTCAAGATCCCCCTTGCCTGGGGAGCAGCTTGGGCAGAAAATCACGGAACAGGCGGCCGGGGCTGGAGGTGTCTGTGGTCCTCCACGGACTTTGTGTACCTGGGGCTTGCCACGGCGCTCTTCACTTAGCTGTTGGCCACGCGCACCAGCACAAGATCACACGGTAACTGTGTCCGCGTGGGGGCCTGGAGCGTGGGTCAGCGCAGCCAGGAAGACCAGCTGGGTTCAGGGGCCTGCAGACGGTCACGTCACCATCAATCCCACACATGACAGAAGGACCAGGGGCCCAGGTCGGATTCTTCACGGGTCCATGGTGGATGGAGGGTGAGCCGCGTGTCACGGGCTCACCTCTGAGGGTCAAACACACCTTGTCCACTTCGCCGTAGGTGGGGCCGGGGCTCTGGCCAGGCAGTGCCTTTGTCTGTACCCCGGATGTCACGTCACCGTTTTCGACCTCCCAGAAGTGGTGAGGACGGCAAAGCAGCACTTCCCGCTCCCGGAGGAAGAGCACGTTGGCTTCCAGGAAGGTGGGTTTGTGTCTCTTCGGGAAGCACAGACGTGTCTGAAGACTTCTTTGATTTTTATTAGTTTGACACACAGTGTCGCTCTGTCACCCAGGCTGGAGTGCAGTGGTGTGATCTCAGCTCACTGCAACCTCCTCCTCCCGGGTTCAAGCGATTCTCCTGTCTCAGCCTCCCGAGTAGCTGGGATGACAGGCACACGGCACCACGCCTGGCTAATTTTTTGGTATTTTTAGTACAGACGGGGTTTCTCTATGTTGGGCGGGATGGTCTCGAACTCTTGACCTTGTGATCTGCCCGCCTCGGCCTCCCCAGTTAGCCAGGCTTTGCCGCAGGCACCTGGGGCCTCCCAGCTACTCTGGACGCTGAGGCAGGAGAATCGCTTGAACCCGGGAGGCGGAGGTTGCAGTGAGCAGATATCACACCACTGCACTCCAGCCTGGGCCACGGAGCGAGACTCCGTCTAAAAAAAAAGAAATAAAGAAAAAAAGTCATTTTGGCAGGGCGCGGTGGCTTACTCCTGTCATCCCAGCACTTTGGGAGGCCGAGGCGGGCGGATCACCTGAGGTCAGGAGCTGGAGACCAGCCTGGCCGACATGGTGAAACCCCGTCTCTACAAACAAGCCAAAATTAGCCGGCCGTGGTGGCGGGCGCCTGTCATCCCGCCTGCTGGGGAGGCTGAGGCAGGAGAATGGCTTGAACTCTTGACGCAGAGGTTGCGGTGAGCTGAGATCACACCACTGCACTCCAGCCTGGACGACAGGGTGAGACTCTGTCTCAAAAACATAAATAAATAAACAAAAGTCGCTGTGTCTTACACAGCCGAGGTAGGCTTTGTATACCTCCGTCGCTGGAGCTGTGTTCCATTTCCTTTTTGGTGCTCATGCTAAGCTTCGCATGTTCCCAGGCCGGTGCTCCACGGGACGCTGAGTTTGTTGTTCCTACTGAATATCATTTAAGCCTTTCTTTTTTTTTTTTTTTTTTTTGGGACGGAGTTTCGCTCTTGTTACCCAGGCTGGAGTGCAATGGCGCGATCTCGGCTCACCGCAACCTCCGCCTCCTGGGTTCAGGCAATTCTCCTGCCTCAGCCTCCTGAGTAGCTGGGATTACAGGCACGCGCCACCATGCCCAGCTAATTTTTTGTATTTTTAGTAGAGACGGGGTTTCACCATGTTGACCAGGATGGTCTCGATCTCTTGACCTCGTGATCCACCCGCCTCGGCCTTCCACAGTGCTGGGATTACAGGCGTGAGCCACCACGCCCGGCCCATTTAAGCCTTTCAAGTGACTGTTTGATGATGTGACTGACTGACTAAGCGAACACCTTTGATTGCAAATGCCAAGCTACCAACTGGCTTCCCCAAAGCTGCACCACCCACTCTCACGGGAACCTGCAGACATTTTCTAGAACGATCCTCATGGTAAATATTGTATCTTTTGCAGCCCCAGAGGCGGAACTGAGAATAATTAAGTAGCTGCTTCTAGAAACGAGAGAAAACACATTTCTACCCTTTTTTTTTTTTTTGAGACAGGGTGTGATTCTGTCTCCCAGCCTGGAGGGCGGTGATGTGACCATGAGCTCACAGCAGCCTCCATCTCCCAGGCTCAAAAGTGACCCGGTGACCTCAGCCTCATGTGTAGCTGGGATTACAGGCATGTGCCACCACGCCTGGCTAAATTCCTGTATTTCTAGTATACATGGGGTTTCACCACATTGACCAGGCTGGTCTCGAACTCCTGACCTCATGATTCACTTTGGGAGTGCTGATATTACAGGCGTGAGCCACCACGCCCAGCCAATAACATATTTTTAAAAGAAGAAGGAAAGAGGCCACACGTACCACTCTGTATTTTCTTTTTTAAAAAATATTTTTAATTTATGTTTTATTTTTTGAGATGGAGTCTCGCTCTGTTGCCCAGGCTGGAGTGCAATGGCGCAATCTTGGCTCACTGCAACCTCCGCCTCCTGGGTTCAAGCAATTCTCCTGCCTCAGCCTCCCGAGTAGCCGGGATTACAGGTGCCTGCCACCACACCCAGCTAATTTTTGCGTTTTTAGGAGAGACGAGGTTTCACCATGTTGGCCAAGCTGGTCTCGAACTGCTGACCTCAGGTGATCCGCCCGCCTCGGCCTCCCATGGGGTATTACAGGCGTGAACCGCCATGCCCCGCCAATAACATTATTTTTTAAAGGAGAAGGAGAGAAAGAGGACACACGTATCATTCAGTATTTTCTGATTTTTCTTCTGAGCCTTTTTGTTTTTGAAGGCTAGCTCTGCAGGTCACTAGCCTGGAAGACCTGGGGGGAAGGCATGACCCGTGCAGCTGACCTTTGGTATGGGTTCAGTCACACGGGGTTGTATTATGAGCCGATGCTGGGGTGCCTGACATGTGTTCCAGGGGATTTCTTTAAAGACCATCTTCCGGAAGCAGACCTGTACATCCTGGCCAGGATCCTCCATGACTGGGCGGATGGGAGATGCTCACAGCTGCTGGAGAGGGTCTACCGCTCTTGCAAGCCGGGTGAGCGGTGGGGGTGCATTTCAGCATGTGCTGTGACTCAGGGCAGAGCGGCAGGGGTGATATTGAGAAGGCAGGCGCTGAATTCATCCCACTGGTAAGCGTAGACATCTTGCCAATGGATTTCTTTTTAGATAACGACCTACCATAAATGGGTTCCTGATTTCTATCTATTGAGAGAAACACAGACAGATGGAAAAAGTGAAACGTTCCATGAAATGTCAGTGGAATTAGGCTAGTATTTGTTTGTGTGATGGGGACAGTGCCCCAGTGACCTCTGAGGTCCACCCATCCTGAAGGTCCATGAGGATGTGGGCACAACCTCTGTGTGTGTGATGGGGACAGTGCCTCATGTCCTGTGAGGTCCACCCATCCTGAAGGTCCATGAGGATGTGGGCACAGCCTCTGTGTGAGTCTTGGGGACAGTGCCCCAGTGACCTCTGAGGTCCACCCATCCTGAAGGTCCATGAGGATGTGGGCACAGCCTCTGTGTGAGTCTTGGGGACAGTGCCCCATGTCCTGTGAGGTCCACCCATCCTGATGGTCCATGAGGATGTGGGCACAGCCTCTCCGTGTGTGATGGGTACAGTGCCTCACTGACTTCTGAGGTCCACCCATCCTGCTGGTCCACGAGGATGTGGAAAGAAACAGGCTTTCTGTCTCTCTCTCTTTCTGCCTCAGACAGTCCCATGTGTCTCTCCTGTATGGGACCCTCCCTATGGTTCACAGACCATAAGGATGGCCAGGCTTCAGAGGAACGTGGGGCACTGTACCCGCCACACACTCAGAGCTGTGCCAGGTCTTCATGGAATTTCAGAATGGATGGACCTCACAGAATAGACAGCACAGACACTGTCCCCAGCACACACACACAGAGGCAGTGCCCACGTCCTCTGTCCCCTTCACACACACACAGAGGCAGTGCCCACGTCCTCTGTCCCCAGCACACACACACAGAGGCAGTGCCCACGTCCTCTGTCCCC